ACGTGGTTGATCCATTGCGTCAAGCCATCAACTGTGTTCCACTGCTATCTAATCGTCTTGGCGCTCTCTCGAGATATACGAAAATGTCTTTACCTCCTAGTATACAAATATTGCTGACCTCGAAGCTATCTCCTATCTTAAGCCATCATAAAGAAACGCCAAATATATAAACGGTCGTTTTAGATTGTCGCCAACGATTCATTAGACACTTCAATTAAGTCCATTATCACCTGGACACTTCATTCATTATAAAAAAGCACCTCAACTTGTCAATCCCCATTGCGTCAAATGCACTCTTCGAGACGTAAGTTGCCTATCTAAAATTAGGTTTACTTTTTTCTTTTCGTAAAAACAATGTGGATCCCACCTAAATTTTCACACCTCTTTCTCCTTCACCATCCTCTACCCTAAATTACCTCTGCCACTATCTTTTTTTTTTCCTTTACTTCACACTAGGTTATGCATAATTTGGTAAATACCGAATTACCGTACTGAAATCGAAAATTTTAGTATTTGATATTTGATATTTTGGTATTTGGTTTAATTTTTTTAAAAAATTGATATTAGGTATGGTATTTGATATTTTAAAATAAAATACCGATATCGCATCGAAATATATATTATATTGCATAATACATATATTATTAATTATAATATAAATATACAAAATTTAAAATTTTATTTTTCTTTATTCTCTAAGTTCATCAATTAACTCTAAGCAAGTAACAAGACATTTCTAATGATCAAATTTATTCCTTTATGTACAGTTTTCTCTTCACAAATTTATTCCTTTATGTACAATAGTTGTTATTATTAATGGTGGCTAAACTTACCATAATAGCTTGTGTCTTTTAGTGACAATTTAACAAGATATATCGGCTATAACAATGGACGATAAAAGGACAAATTAAGATGTTTATGTAGGGATATTATAGCTATTATATTAGTATTAAAGATGACTTTTAGTGGCAATTTAATTGATTTTATTAGCCATTAAAATGGATGCTAAAAGGGCATCCTAATACGTTTTTATAAGAGATATTGTTGCCATTCTAATTGTCATAAAACAATTACCACTAAAGGTATGGACTTTTAGCCACAAATATTTTAAATTTAGCGGCCATAAAAGTGGTCGTTAAAGGAGCATTATTAGCCATTTTTAGAGTGGGTTTAGTAGCCATAATAATTACCGCAAATATTTGTCGTTAAGGCAAATTAGTTTTAGCGGCAATCAGTCATACCCTTTACCAGCTTTTGTCAGAAACGCCGCTAAAGGCTTTACCGATCCCGGTTTCAGTGGCGAAACACCAATTGCCGGTAAATGCTATAGCGGCTATTGTAATTGCCGCCAATGCTGTTCTTTATTGCCGCTAAAGTCCCTTTTTGTTGTAGTGTTTGCTGGTTTTGGACAAAACTTTTGTCAATAAATATTTTTAATTTTGTAATTTTGAGTATTTTAATTCAGAATATTACAATCTATGACACTTCACACTAGTTAGTATTCAAATCGAATAAACCGAAGTTACCGAACCGAATAAACCAAAACCGAAAGGAGAAAAACCAAACCATACCGAATTTAATTAGGTACGATATTGGTATAACGTTTTAAAAACCTGATTACTGAAAATACCGAACCGAAATGTCTAAATACCGTACCGTAACGATCGATGAACACCCCTGCTTCACACTTCAAAACTCCATTTTTTACAGCCTAAATCACCCATTTCACCCTTCAAGACTCCTTCATATGGCTTAAATGACTAATACTTAAATTTTGTGAAATTTTATTCAACAAAAACCCTCTCACGCTTACCAACTACATTTCTAATGCTATAAAAATTTTAATTTTTCACATTTACTCATTTTCTTTCTCAAAACTACCATTTTCTTGTTACGCATACCAACCACTTGGCTTTCCATGGCTTTTTTTTTTATAGTTTTTTTAAATATACGAACTTTTATGTTTACTAAGATAATTTATGGTGAAGTTGTTATTCTTATCCAGATTATTCACTGTGACAAAGAAGAAATTGAANGGGTGACTAGTTTTAATTTAAAAAATTACTGTTTTTTTAAGAGAGACACTAGTATATTTTTTATACAAAATTCCACGTGTCATTTATTAATTGGTTCGTTTGACATGTCATCCATGTAACTCACCTATGAGGTTTATTGGACTCGGGTGTTGAAGAGACAAAATTTTTGTGAATGAATGAATCGTGTCTAGCTGAAAATATGCTCAATTGAAGTGTCTAATTGGTCGTTGGAATAACTTAAAAGGGATCATTTATGTATTTCGCCTAAATAAATTATGGAATTTTTTTAAGACACGCTTCTTCAAATCTACTTTTGTAAGTACAAATTAATACCTAACTTACTGCTTTTATGTTTGATATTCTTTAAGGACACTGGGTTACATGATACAAGTTGGGGTAAAATTGAATTTTGGTATTATTGGATGCTAATTTTGGTAACACAGCCCTCTAATTAAATTTCCTTTATGCTATACAAATCATGTGAAAGTCAGCTTTCTGGATGTACAACTATTGATGCTAGTGACAACTGTTGACTATTCAAATATAATTTTATTTGACCCTCAAGAAGTCAACAGTGACTGGCTGACAGCAATTAACTTTTTTTACTAAAACTATGGTAATTAAACTACGTAAATATAAGTACTCGACAACAAAATGAGTGAATTATATATTCACAAATTAAATAATCGGTTGATCATTAAGAAAGAATGATAGTGTTGCTATACAATTACTTGGGCAAGACGCATTCCAATACATTAGATAGTTTTTATTTCTGTTCAATAGTATAATATTTCTCCTAGTTCTTGTTTTCCAAGAAAGCTTGACAAGAGAATTAAAATACAATACCATTTGAATACCTGGAGGCGTTGGCTGAGCCAGGGAATTGGATCAAAATGGACTACCCAATCTTTGAATTGCCTGGTGAAGCATGCTTCATTGCACTTTATTTTAAAGCATATCTTCTACACTTTATTTTGGGGATTTAATTACAACTGAAACTGTCATGAAAATGAAATGAACCTCGTATTTGTTTCTTGACCCCTCGTCAACGTGGAGCGACATTTTGCAGTGTGGTATATGAGTCCAAATAAATAATGAACAGATTGATTACGATGAAATTTCTTGGCTGTTGTTATTAACGTTCATATCATCTACGCACGCAATGACATCTTCTAGGATGGGAAAAATTCTAGTTTATAACTTACGCCAGCATTATCTAGAAAAATCGTTTGCAACAAATATTTGTACATGAATCATGAGTTTAACTTATACCGACCACCAGTGTATGTAGCATAAGTTTTTCAGCTACAGTAATGACAAAAAAGTAATTATTCTTTACTAAATGACATAGTCACTTCAGTTTGAAAAGATTAATCTACTGAAGCTATCAATTGATTGTTGTATAGTTGTTGAGTAACTTTACTCTGTCGACTTTGATGTTCCTATTATTAGAGTTAATATATTTGTAATTTATTGTCTGGCAAAAACAAAATATCAAGTTCAGTCGAATAATATAAAAGGAATATGATCCTATTTGATTAAAAAAAAAAAACTCTGGAACATACAGTTTATCCATGTCTTGAAAAACTATGCATTAAGGGACAAGCAATTTGAAAAATCTTGATATGAAATATCATTAATGAATTATGAAAATTTGTAGTTCTAAAATTGATATGGCTATCGCTATATATTGGTATAACAAATTAACAATTAATTATGTGATGGTATTGATATATGGACTAGGATTAACGTGTGAATTGGAAGAGGTCTTGATTGGAGATGGTAGGTAACAGTTATGACGTTGGAAGTAGGATTTTCACTAACAAAAGTTAAAATATAAAGAACTAAACACACGATAAAGTCAAGGGAATTCAATATATATACATAAATAAATAAAATACCTAGTTACACAATTTAACTATCAGAGGAAAGGGGTGATAAAGGTGGCTCCGCCAGTGGACTGACATGGTTGGTGCCAGACCTCTGTCGATGTCATGTGTGCTCACAGTGAAGATGCGATTTATATGGATTCTATCTTAAAATACTTCTCACATGATTGTTATCAGTAATTGATATGGAAGGATAGGAACTCATAATGCAGATATGATTATTTATTATGCTACGGTTTGGAAAGTGTTGTTACATTGAGTATGATTTATGTACATGTTTACCTATGAGTTAATCAAGGTTTAAAAAAAATTAATAAAGTTAGATATGACTCACTTAGCTTGCATGATCCTCATTTCCACTGTAAAAATTGTTGCGCGAATGTGGATATGCTGAATAACCTTATCATGAAGTGTGGAAAGTTATGGTTGAGATATTTAGGTATTGCTTGAAATATGACAGGACTGCAGAACCATGGGATATTCACTTTTTAGAGAAAAAAGACACTCCCGCTATGCACAGGGTTTGGGGAAGGACTGGACTACAAGGGTCTATTGTATATAGTCTTGCCCTGCATTTTTGCAAGAGGCTATTTTCATGGCTCGAACCCGTAACCTCCTGGTCACATGGTAACAACTTACGCCAAGGCTCCCTTTCTCATTTTTTAGGGAAAACTTTGCCGAAATTTGATTAAGATTGGTAGGGCATGCTTGTACGGATTGTGTATTTTGCATTGCATCGAACCCCTTAGTGTCAAACTGTGTAATCAGTATATGGAAAATGAGAAGGGCTTTTCATAATCAATTCTAAGCTTCTCAATACGTCTGAAAACCAGCATGGCATATTAATGTTCATGAAACTGCCTCTAGAAAACGCACTCAAGGAGTGCGACAATAGAAAGAAGAATCATGAGGTCTTAAATTTGAATTCCGACGCAAGTAAAAAAACCAAGTGTTTCATGCGGTCTGCCTAAGCATTAGTGGGAAGAGGTACCCGACAATTTGTGCTAGTGGGAGGTAACAAGGTACACTGGAATAATCGAGCAAGCTGGCCTGAAAACTCACTTAGAAAAAATTATAAAAGAAAAAACTGTCTCTAGAAAATGCAATTTGCGTTGTTCCTCTTTCATTTATATAGTACAACAGAACACCGTTTCTTTGCTAACTGGCAACTTCTTTTTACCCTCCAGGTAAAGGAGAATGAAAATCAGTAAACAAAATCAAAGATTCCAAATTTTAATATTCTGATTGGAAAGGAAAACTTCCTCTCATCCCTCATCCCCAAAGCTGTGTTTTTACTAGAAGACACCAATCCTTCAAGTTCAACCTTTGGTTCCTCATAAACATAATATGGCAAATTGAAATTTACCTCACCGAGACAAGCAAATGAAGAAAAATTTGCTGTATTTTCTTTGGGGGACGGGTGGGGGAGAGAGCAACTCCAGTCACTATTTTTTCAAACCTCTTACAGATGGAGAGACACGGATACATCTTCACTCGAGTAGGATTCGCATTTTTAGCAACGCTCTGGTATTTGTTTACTCAGTAGGCTAATGATGCAAAGAACACCTCGGACCAAAGAAAAACAACACAGTAAGAATTCTCACTGTCCAATATTGCGGGTTTGCAACCTCTTCCTCTCCAATACAAGCTGAATGGAAAAACCACAATGAATGAAATCAACTACCCACAAAAATAGGATTAGTCTTTAGTATATTTTCTTTGATCAGAGAGAAAACAAGTATCTTACCACTTTCCGCACTCGTTCATTAGCAGCCGGAGTGCCTCCAGTAACAGATTCAGGAAGATATGGACTGCTAACACGCACCTCATTCATCACAACGATCACAGTCTTGTCCCAGCGCACAGGCAACCTGGTTACATGAACAATGACATCAAAATTCACAGAAGATATCGTAATGTCACCAGAATTGGTATCCTACACATGCACAGCACGATTCACATAACTCGTATAAAAAAGCTAGACTGGTACTGCGATCAATATTTGTATAGGACACTAGATAAGCCAGCCCTGATGGAGATTTATCAGAAAGCACCTATTGTGGCTGCTCATTTGTACATGCATATTGTTTGACGTCAGTTATACATGCTTTTCTTGATAAGTGCCTCATTTATACATGCTTTTCTTGATAAGTGCCTCATTTATACATGCTTATCGTCATACATATCTACTCTATATTGTTTCAAAAGAATAGAAATTGTAAATGAGATTCCAAATATTAACCAGACAAGGACAGAAATCCAAAACTCTATACGATTAACTTGTAGGATGAATAATCCTATGCTCTCTGAGTTGCTACAATCTATGTACCATATGAAACCTATTCAACTGTTTTCCTTGCATCAGATTAAGCTTCCGTCTATATCTCATCTTTGGTTGGTGGACTTCCAATAATAAAATTTAAGGGGCCGATAGCCAATCAGCAAGCGTATAACATCCAGAAGCATTATATAACCACTAAAAGTCCAGTCAAAATTATCATTAGAATCTAAAATGAACACTTCTAAATGACAAGAAACAAAATGAATCAACAATCATATTAATCTTCTGCCAAAAAATATCAAACTTTCTTCTCTATCAAAAAAATCTCTTTCTTAATTTGTCATGGAATATTCAACAGGTCATTTAACCAAGTTAGACTACCAAGCCAGAAATTAATGTGTCCGGTAAAACTCACACCTAGAAACCACCTAGTGAACAAACTCAAAGTACATCAAGCCAACATTCATAGGACAATGTTTGGTGCAACAACTTCTTCGCCCCAGCTAGAACTACACTCTGGGGTTGCCCTAGTAAATATCCAATGTAAGCTCTCTTCACCCACCTAGTGAACTGCTGTAGACTCGAGGACGAGTCTTTTTCAACTAGGGGGAGAATGATGCAAGATGAAGAAGGCCAAGAATCCAAGAAATTCAAGAAGCCAAGAATCCATTCAATATTAGGATTTCTTTTCCTTAAAGATTAAGATTTCTTATTTCCTAGTAATTTAATTCTTGTTTTAGTAGGATTATATTTGTAGTTGTAGTCAAACTAGGATTGTTAGTTGGTATCCCATTCTTACTAGAATACTTTTTCCTATTTTAGTTAGGATAGGTTTTCTTAACTTTATTCTTATTCTAGTTTAATTAAGATTAATTTTCCTTAACCTTATCAATTTTCCTAATTGTAAGGCCTATTTAAAGAGCTCAATATGCTGAAAATAAACATTGGTGATTAGTTTCTTTGAGCATTAGCTTCAAAAACGTGATTGGCTCTTTTGTTTCCTCTTCTTCACTTACTCAACGTTTCTTGCAATCTTCTGGGATTGAGGAACGTGTGGGTGAGGTTTCTTTTCATCTTACATTTTCTAAAGTAAGTTTGAAGAACAGTTTCGCTAGTTTCGTGAAAAACTTTTGCGGCGTGCTTTTGTTTTTCTCTTTTCTTTGTGCTTGAGAGGTGCAAAACCTTGAAAGTACATCACTCATATGTAGCAGCAAAGTTAAAATGATCAAGAAAGCTTTCCTTCAATGGGACATCATCTACCCAAGCGTCATACCACAATATTATCTTTCTCCTATCACCAGCTTTTGATTTCACCAGATTTTTAAAGTCCTCCCATAAGCTCCTTTAATTTTTTTGATAAACGAGAAATCCTTGAGGATCAGTGGCGCATGATTCAAGATTCGGTGAATAATGGAACTGTCCCTCAATGAATATTAAATTCTAAACCCAAAATTTTAAAGTCCAATTAGTTTAATGCTAAGAACCTTAAACAGCAAGGGCTTGCTTAGCCTGGTTACCTTTTTTCATAATTGATCTTGTTCACTGTTGAATCTCGAAACTATACATAGAGTAGGCTCTTATTTTTCACTTTGAGATTCTTAACTGTTGAACTACATTTTTGTATGTTGTAAAGATGGAGCCACTTCACAAGATGAATTCTAACCAAAACAAAAAAAGAGTTGCTATCTGATAGAAAGTTGTTTTGCTCTTCTATCCAACTGCCTCTCACTTTTGTTGAGATAGGGAACACAGAAAATAATATAAGTGAGGATGCTATATAGTATACTATTATTCTCAATCATCTGGCTAGAATAAGTTTTGCTTTATCCAGGTGGGTAATTCTCTCAAATTTCTCAATAACCCTTTGCCAGATTTAGGATTCCTTAAACTTTCAACCCAAGGAAGTCCTACATATATTGTGGTAAGTTCACCCAGTCTACGCACTAGAATAGAGACCATTTGAGGAAGTTCCTACATTCACCGGAAATAAGGAGCTCTTGTTCAGATACCTGTGTATCCTCAAAGACAAATAAAACAGCTTTTACGAAACATCTATTGTATTTCTTCTTCCGCTATAGTATTAATCTCTTCTTCCTATATAGGATTAATGTCTCATTGCCACAGAATGGGAAAAAGAGTTATCAACCAACCCCAACCCCACTACCCATTCTTTTCCGTTGCTATGTTTAGCATATCAATTATAATATAGTGGGATTCTCCCTGTTGCAATCTATATGATGGAAAAAAACCAGGAGCTCCCTATTACTGATAGTGAACCAATGCAGATTTCCACATTTTAATCCAATTAATCGATTAATCTTCAAACACACACCTCTCATTGTATATAACAGGAAAGATAAATTTACATAGGGTGTGGACGTCATTTTCAATGAAAAAAGTATTCCATAGAATATAAATAATGTTTTTCGATGTTTGATTGTGAGTGGATATTCTTCAAAAAATATGCTAAATATTAATAATAATGTAGGCAAATTAGGGAGTATTTTGATGAACTAAAAGTTAATAATAATGTATAAATGTTAGTTGGAGCAAGTAATCCAAAGTTAAAAGTTAAGATCAAAGCATGGAGAATGACTTTTGCTCATAGGGACATATTCTCCTTTTGATGAGAAATATTTTCCTTGAACAATGACTTCCGTCATACCAAACACCAAAAAATGACATCCTCAGAGAAATTTTTTTATGGAAAATGACTTCCGTCCTACCAAACACATCCATAGTTATTGTATTTTTTAGATTTACACGTTTCCTCTCGCCTAAATCTCAGATCAAGATATTTACTGGCCATCAAAGTTGAATCCATGATTTGTTTGCAAAGCACAAGTACCATTTGGGTCTAGAAACAGAAGCAGATTTCGCATTAAGACCATCCTGATTTCCTGCTTAATCACCATAAATCAGATTTTGCTTCTGTTTCTTGGAACAAAGCTTCATACAATCTGCAGATCTTCTGTTTAATCAAGTTACTCAAAAGAGTCAGCATTCACGATTCGTCTAACAAGTAATTATTACGTCTCCTATAAGTATTTTTCATTTCTTAAGAAAAATTTATTTTGCCCCTTTTTTAAGCAATAATAAGCATCTAGATCTTCGTCTCAAGGAAATTTCTTCAGTTTGGTAAGTTCATTTAGTTCCTTGAAATGAGCATTCCCTAAGGCCATCTCCTCCGAAACAACTCCTTTTCCTCATTTTTCTCAACCCAGACAACAAAGGCTTTGTCGAATGGAAGCCTTTGGGTCTATTCATCCATAAACATAGACATTCCGCACCTTAAATCCTTTGTCCGCATTTTTAGTCATTTTGGCCAACACTAAGTTTATCTCTCCTATTAGAAGATCACCATTTCTCCACCAAGTATAAAGAGCCTTCTGGCTCTCAATCACATGTTCTCAAACTCAAAGTATGATTTTATTATGCGCCTCTCTCAACAGATTTGTTAAATAGATGTGTGGTCTGAGCAGTGTTGTGAAAAGCGCTCACTTCAACGCTTAAAGCGCGAAGCGAAGCGGGAACTCGATCGCTTCTGTGATGTGAAGCATAGCAGGTGGAGTAAAGCGTTTGCTTCTGCAAAAAAGCGAGAAGCGACAGAAGCGAGCGCTTCTATGTATTAAGGCTGCCTACGTTAAAAATTAAAAAAGCTCTCTTTTTTTAAAACATCGTCGAGCGGCAGAGCAAAACAGGCGACTAGGTTCGCATTTCTGCTCTTTTCAACTTCAAGTTCATCATGTTCAAGCCCAGGTATGTGATTTCTTCTTCCTCTTCCTCCTCCTTCTTTTTCTTCTTCTTTCACTATTTCAGTCTCAGGATAACAGCGAAATGCTGGTAAATTTTTTCTTTTTCTCATTCTCCTCTCCTTTTTCTTTCATTGTTTCAGTCTTAAATTTCAGCGAAATGCTGCCCAACTTTTTTTGTTTCAATTACTGCCATTTATTTCGTATACATACGCCATTTTCTTTCATTTCATTTATTCTTAGTTCTTACATCCATTTTTGTGTGTTATTCAGTTGTTTTTTTAATGGCACCAAAAGAAGATAGAAAGACTCGGCTTGGGCTTATTCTGTAAGAGTTAACGAGACCAACAAGATGGCAATTAGATGTCTTTTTTGTGACAAGATTTTGAATGGGGGAATCTATTGTCAAAAATTTCATCTAATCGGTGGTGATCCAAACGTTGTATCTTGTCCTAAAGTTCCGCCGCATGTGAAGGAAGAAATGATAGCATAGCTTAAAAAAAAAGAGTTAAAAGACTCAAATGCATCATGAACAAGAACAAGTGCATAATCCTGATGATGACGATGACGAAATAGAAAAAGGTGACGATTGTTCGTCGCCATTAAAATCACAAGAGGGGGGAAGGATACAAACAAAGTCTTCAAGTTGTGGATCTACTCGTAAGACTAAAGGTCTTATGGATTGTTATTTCCCGCAAAAATCAGGAGATATGGGAGAGAAAAGTAGTAATCGTAAAATTGATGCCAAATCGATTTTGAGGGATAGTGCAATTGCAATGTTTGCGCGGTGGATGTATGATGTAGGTCTTCCTTTTAATTGTGTTAATTATACTGACATTTTTTCTGCTTTTATTGAGGCCGTAGGACAATATGGTCTAGAAATGAAGTCTCCAACTTATCATGAAGTTAGAGGTCCATATCTAAAAAAAAAGAGGTAGAAAAAACTAACAAAATCGTGAAGGAGCACAAAGTAGAATGAAACAAGTTTGGTTGTTCCATTATGATGGATAGGTAGACGGCAAGAAATGGAAAAATGATCATCAATATCTTGGTGAATTCTTCCAAGGGAAGCTTGTTTCTTGAGTCCGTTGGTGCAAGCAACTCTTTTACTGATTCAACCAAAATGTACTCCTTGTTCAAGAGTACAATAGACTCTATTGGAGCAGAAAATGTTGTTCAAGTTTTCACGGACAACGCAGTGAAAATGTTAAAGTTGGCGATTTGATGTCTATAGTGTACCCGTATATTTATAAGACTCCTTGTGCAGCATATTGCATTAATTTGATCTTTGGTGAGATTTTCAAGGAAAGACCTTTCCGTACAGTCTTTAATCAGGCAATTAGAGTGCATTCCTATATTGTTCAAAGGCCTTTGTTATTGAATATGATGAAGAGATTCACAAAACAAAGAAGCTTGGTGAAACCTGCAAAGGCAAAATTTACTACCTCTTTCTTGACTTTGAATAGGATATATGAGCAAAAAAGCAATTTGAAGTTGTTTGTTTCATATGAGTACGCTAACAGTGCCTATGGAAGGGAAGCTCGAGGGAGAGAATCTGTAGATATTATGCTTTCTAATGCATTCTGGACTAATGTGGTTCATGCATTGAAGATTGGTGGTCCTTTAGTTAAAGTGCTTCATTTGGTGGGTGGAGAGCAAAGACCGACAATGGGCTACCTTTACGAAGCAATGGATAGGGTAAAGGAGGCTATTCGAGGCTCGTTTAGTGATAAAAGAAAATATAAAAGAGTCATTGAGATCATAGATAAAAGGTGGACAGATCAGATTCATCACCCTTTGCATGCAACTGGGCTTGTTTTGAACCCGGAACTATTTTATGACAATAAAAAGAGGATTATAGGAGATGCAAAATTGTGGAATGGATACGTTGAATGTATTGAGAAGTTGATACCTAAAGAATCCGATCAAGATAAAATAACAGAGCAATTTAGTACTTGTAGGAATGCTGAGCAACTTTTTGGAAAAAAAACATGGCTATTAGACAAAGAAGGACGAAGTCACCAGGTGAGCGAGTTCTTATATGTTGCTTTATAGTTAATAAGTTATTTCTTTACAAATATTATGTTTTGAATATTTGTTCTACTTCTACAGTTAAATGGTGGAAGCAATATGGCCATTCCACTCCAGAATTACAAAAGTTTGTCATCAAAGTTCTACGTCTAACGTGTAGCTCATCCGGCTGTGAAAGCAATTGGAGCGTGTTTGAACATGTAAGAACTAAGAAGAAAGATTTAGTACATTGAGATAATTAAATTATATCTCAATTGTCCTAATCTTACTAATTACTTATTATTTGCAGATTCATACCAAAAAGAGGAACAAACTAACCTTGAAGCATCTCAATGATCTAGTCTTCATTAAGTACAATAGAACATTGAGGCGTCCTTACAATGCTCGCAATATAATTGATCCAATTAGTTTGGACAACATCGATGATGCTAATGAATGGCTAACTGGAGTCCCGGAAGATCATGCAGATGAAGAAGTATTTGAGGAAACTTCTAATTTCACTTGGGGTGATGTTGCGGAGGCACATAAAATTGGGGAGAGGATTGATGGTTTGAAGGGTAGTATTTGAGGAAACTTCTAATTTCACTTGGGGTGATGTTGCGGAGGCACATAAAATTGGGGAGAGGATTGATGGTTTGAAGGGGAGTACTTCAACTTCAAGCTCACAAAGGAAAGGAAAAGAAGCAGCTACTGTGTCTCTAGTTGAAGAAGAAGAAGAAGAAGACGAGCAATATAATAATGATAGTGGAATACAAGAATTTGACAATCTTATAGAAGAATAGGATGCTCATTTTGTGCTTCAATTGATGTTATTCTTTAATTTTTACATTGAAGTATTGAACATTTGCTTACGGTTACATGTGTTGTCTTTGCAGTATTTATTTTAGTATTTTTTTTAAAAATTCCGCTTCACTTCAAAAAAGTGAGTGCTTCGCTTCTCGCTTTAAGCGAAAAGGGGCTTGTCGTTTTTCCTTCACAACAATGGGTCTGAGTGTATTCTCGGGAGTGTACTTTGCCTTATAATTCGAACAATTGTCATCCCGTTGATATCAAAGCCTGTCAATTCTAGATTTAAAGCCATTGCTATCCCTAAGTACGTGGATCTACCACCATGTAATTAAATGTCACTCAATTTCACTTCCCGAATGAAATCTATAATCCGACTTCAGTGAAACTAGTCAGAGTGAAGTCCCTTCCTACCGCCCCTGGAAAATTCCAAAGTGCATAGTCCCCTTATGGCACCGGTGAAGAACCAAATAAAGTTTGAAGCACACTTTCTAAGAAACTGTAAATGTTCTTTCATTCTCCTGGCAGTTCCACATTTTTGGCCTTGCATGATTTATGCCTCCATTATTTTCACTTACTTCAAGTTCTGCACAACAGCCATCTCAACTTCTCTTTACTTATTTCAATCCTCTGACCTTCCAATATCTTCTAACATTCTTATAGAGGTTTTAATCTTCATTTCATTGATCGAGAGAGTTTCTTGTCTCTTCCTTTGGAGCTATTGTTTTAGTTATTAACAGTTTAACAATAAATTCCAGTTACCTTAGCTCCCTGACTCACCTTTGCTTTGTGTACACAAGCTTTTAGAAGTTACATTTTTTCCTGTATATATCTCTTTATTTTTTCAAATAAGGCATGTGTTTCCTCTTCAAAGTCTTGGAACTGTACTCCCAATTGTTTGTTCAACTTTACAACATTTTTCTTCACCCATCCAAACTCTTCTGTTGCTGTTGCTATGGGGGTCAAGAGTTGAGGGGGTACCTCTGCTTCCTAGTTCCTCCTAGTACACGAAGCGGCGAAAAAGGTTTCCATTTCAATTTTGGTCTTCATTCATGTACTGTTTCCGTACTTTCTTCACCTTATTATAGTTACATGCAGCTGGACCACCTGAAACTGTCGGTTGATTTGCTTAGATAACTCGGACCTCCATGTCCACTTAAAACTCATCATGAACCAGAAGTCAGCAAAAACATGACCAAAAGGTTTTCTTGCAGATTTTCCAGCTAGGCAATTCCACACGTTGAATATCGGAAAGCAAACCTTGTTTTGCTAACCTTTGCATTCTTTATTTGCCAAGATGACCAAGTCAAGCATGCCATATGTTTACATCACTATCATATTTATGTGAAAAACAAACATAGAAAAACTAGCATTATTATTAAATGAATCATAAGCCAAATCCATAATAATTAAACCTCCGGTCACATGACCAAAACCAAATAAAGTTAACCAAAAGTCAACTTGGCAGAATTGCCATGAGAAAACAAGTCAAATCCTATCTTAAGCAAAACTAAAATAACATTCCGGTGAATTGTTGGTGCAAAGAGAACATTATGTAGTATTAGGTTTCGAGCACCACGCAGGACTGACTTGCATGTGCCGATCCCTTCAACAACAACTTTATTGTTGTTACCCACATATATCCACTTTACTCCACGTGGAACTCGACGAAATGCAACAAAGGCACTGCGTTTCCAGGCTATGTGGTCCATTGCTCCTGAGTCTACAATCCACAAAGGATTAGATTCAGTTAGAAAAACAGAACTAAAAACACAAAGTTCACTAATTTGAGCATCCTGAAATACCTTTTATAGGAGGCTCAGAGCAATCTCTGGCATAGTGACCTTTTTGTCACAATTATAGCATTTCACTTTAGCAACTTTGATACGTCTGTTCTTGCTATTTTTAGTCTTTTCTCTTTTAGTAGGCTGAGCTTGAGGTGACCCTATCTTCTTTCCCCAGTTCTTTTTCTTTGAATCACTCTTTGTTTTGGAGGTTGTTGCCATGTGCAACTCAACTATTGGCTTTGCAGCCTCAAGTCGTTCGTCCTCTAACTCAAGATGCCTTCGGACATCTTCTAGAGTTGTGATTTGCTCGTTATGGGTCAAATGCATTTTCATTTGATTCATGAACTAGGTAAAGAGCGTATGACAGCTTGGATTTGTTGTTCATTAGTTAACACATGACCAGCATCTTTAAGCTCCCCGATCATATTTGTCATTTGCCTCAAATGTGTTCATTGAATGTTCTGGGCGTTTCTTATATGAATCAAATTTGATCGTTAAGAATCGCAACCTTGTAGTGGAACAAGTACTAAGCCTTTTCCTCAAAGCATTCCAAAGATCCATAGCTCCTCTTTGGTGATCCTTAAACTCCCTTGGGATGTCATCATCCAAGGTGCTCAGCAGCGTAATGCGAGCAGTGGAGTTCTTTTTCTTCCAACTGTCATAGGCTTCACGCCTATGATGAGCAGTGTTGCCTTCCTCAGGCTCATTCATGACATTGTTAATGGCCTCTAGAGCCTCTTGCTCCTCTAGCACATACTGGACTTTCAAGCTCCAAGTGTTATAGTTATCGCCATTGAGTTTCAACCCTTTGTTGAGCTCGGCAACGATGTTTTTCGAAGCAGTAGTCATTCTTTAACAAAATAAAAAATATCATGATAATCATATAAAAATTAAAAAAATAACGCAAGGCACTATGTCATTCTGTACGTATGTTGAACATAGTGCCTTGCGTTATTTTTTTATTTTTATATGATCCTCATGATATTTTTTATTTTGTTAAAGAATGACTACTGCTTCGAAAAACATCGTTGCTAAGCTCAACAAAGGGTTGAAACTCAATGGCAATAACTATGAAATTTGGAGCTTGAAAGTCCAGTATGTGCTAGAGGAGCAAGAGGCTCTGGAGGCCATTAACAATGTCATGAATGAGCCTGAGGAAGCCAACACTGCTCAGCATAGGCATGAGCGTGAAGCTTATGACAGTTGGAAGAGAAAGAACTCCATCGCTCGCATTACGTTGCTGAGCACCTTGCATGATGACATCCTAAGGGAGTTTAAGGATCACCAAAGAGCTATGGATCTGTGGAATGCTTTGAGGAAAAGGTTTGGTACATGTTCCACTACAAGGTTGCGATCCTTAACGATCAAATTTGATTCATATAAGAAACGCCCAGAACATTCAACGAAAACACATATGAGGCAAATGACAAATATGATCGGGGAGTTGAAAGATGTTGGTCATGTGTTGACTGATGAACAACAAATCCTAAGTTGTCATACGCTCTTTACCTAGTTCTTGGGATCATATGAAATGCATTTGATCCATAATGAGCGAATCACATTCTGGAAGATGTCCGGAGGCATCTTGAGTTAGAGGAAGAACGACTTGAGGCTGCAAAGCCAATAGCTGAGTTGCACATGGCAACAACCTCCAAAACCAAGAGCGATTCAAAGAAAAGGAACTGGGGAAATAAGAGAGGGCCACCTCAAGCCCAGCCTACTAAAAGAGCAAAGATTGAAAAAGGCAAGAATAGACGTCCCAAACGTGTCAAAGTTGCTAAAGTAAAATGCTATAATTGTGACAAAAGGGGTCACTATGTCAGAGATTGCTCTGAGCCACCTAGAAAGGTATTTCATGATGCTCGAATTAATGAACTGTGTTTCTAGTTCTGTTTTTCTAACTGAATCTAATCCTTTGTGGATTGTAGACTTAGGAGCAACGGACTACATAGCCTGGGAACACAGTGCATTTGTTGAATTTCGGCGAGTTCCACGTGGAGCAAAGTGGATATATGTGGGCAACAACAATAAAGTTGTTGTTGAAGGGAACGTCACATGCAAGTCAATCCTGTGTGATGGTCGAAACATAATACTACATGATGTTCTCTTTGCACCAACAATTCGCCGGAATGTTATTTCAATTTCAGTCTTGCTTAAGCTAGGGTCTGACTTGTTTTGTCATGGCAATTCTGCCAAGTTGACTTTTGGTTCAACTTTATTTGGTTTTGGTGATGTGACCGGAGGTTTAATTTTATGGATTTCGATTAGGATTTATTTAATAATAATGCTAGTTTTTCTGTTTGTTTCTTCACATAAATATGATAGTGATGTAAACATATGGCATGCTAGACTTGGTCATATTGGCCAAAAAAGAATGCAAAGGTTAGCAAAACAAGGTTTGCTTTCCAACATTGAACATGTGGAATTGTCCACTTGTAAAAATTGTCTAGTTGAAAAATCTGCAAGAAAACCTTTTAGTCAGGCAACGATTTGATGTTGAAGGCGGTGAAGTATTTATGATGCTCCTACAAGAAGAAAACGAGTCTAAAAATGTAAAAGAGCTCTCTCATGCCCTTCTAAGGATAAATGGACAAAAACAATGGAAGATGAATTAGAGTCTATGAGAGTCAACAAAGTTTGGATTAGTTGACCTCCCTAAAGGACGCAAAGCAATTGGGAGCAAATGGGTTCTCAAAATTAAGCTTAAGGCTGATGGCACAGTTGAGAGATATAAGGCTCGACTGGTGGCAAAAGGGTATACAGTATACACAATAGAAAGGAATAGATCAAGGAACAAGCTTGTGATTTTAACATTGTATGTAGATGACATACTTATAGCTGGAAATGATAAGGAGTTTATAGACATAAAGTCATGTTTGTCATCTCAATTTGAGATGAAAGATATGGGTGAAGCTATATATATTCTTGGAGTTAAGATTTCAGGGGATTGTCCAAAAAAATTATTGTATTTCTCACAAGAGAATTACATTAGAAA